CTAATAAACCTTTGACTGTCTGATGGGCCTTTGGCAGGTCCCAAACCCCAGGAATTCCATTCCCACAATCTCAAAATCCCATTCCCATTGGGAATCCTCCCTATTGCCATTCCCAGACTGCCAAAATCCCAGATCCCAAATTCCCAAATCCCGGCTCCTCACTGGGCCGGTCTCAGATCCCAGTTCCCAAATCCCATTCCCAAATCCCAGATCCCATTCCCAAATCCCCAGATCTGGCTCCTCACTGGGCCAGTCTCAGATCCCAGATCCCAGTTCCCAGATCCCATTCCCAAATCCCAGCTCCCATTCCCAGATCCCAGCTCCCATTCCCAGCTGTGGCTCCTCACCGGGCCGGTCCCAGATCCCAGATCCCAGATCCCATATCCCAAATCCCAGATCCCATATCCCATTCCCAGCTCCCATTCCCAGCTGTGGCTCCTCACCGGGCCGGTCCCAGTTCCCATTCCCAAATCCCAGATCCCAAATCCCAAATCCCAAATCCCAGTTCCCATTCCCAGCTGTGGCTCCTCACCGGGCCGGTCCCAGTTCCCATTCCCAAATCCCAGATCCCAAATCCCAAATCCCAAATCCCAAATCCCAGCTCCCATTCCCAGCTGTGGCTCCTCACCGGGCCGGTCCCGGGCCAGCTGCCGGTCGAGCGCCAGCGCCGTCTTCTCCTCCTGGATGAAAATCCGGTCGATCATCACCATCTCTGCCGAGGGGCTGGAACGCTGTGGGATTGATGGGATATGGGATATGGGATCAGGGATAGGGGATTGGGATCAGGGATATGGGATTGGGATATGGGATCATCACCATCTCTGCTGAGGGGCTGGAACGCTGTGGGATTGATGGGATATGGGATATGGGATCAGGGATAGGGGATTGGGATATGGGATATGGGATTGGGATATGGGATCATCACCATCTCTGCCGAGGGGCTGGAACGCTGTGGGATTGATGGGATATGGGATATGGGATCAGGGATTTGGGATCAGGGATTTGGGATCATCACCATCTCTGCCGAGGGGCTGGAACGCTGTGGGATTGGAATATGGGATCAGGGATAGGGGATTGGGATATGGGATCAGGGATTTGGGATCAGGGATTTGGGATCATCACCATCTCTGCCGGGGGGCTGGAATGCTGTGGGATTGATGGGATATGGGATTTGGGATCTAGGATCAGGAATTTTGGGATCAGGGCTCACCCTGGATTCCTCCAGAAGCAGGCGCCAGTATTTGTTGAGCACCAATCAGGGATC